ATTAGGACAATACTCGGAGTACTTTCATATATTGTAAGGTAAGTTTAATTTTTTCTTCAATTTCTTTTACAAACATTTATATGCATTAATTAAGAGATAATTTATTCAGAAATAAAAATTTATAGATTATGACAGTTTTATTCATAAATTAAAATAAATATTAATATATAATACAAATAATAATTTAAATTTATAATGATAGTGTAATAATGGTGTATTTTTCCAGATACTGTATTAATAAAATATGTTTTCTGATAAATGACGCAAATAATTCACTAACTGATATTTAATTGATAGCTATATACGATAATAAAGAAGAAATATAGCAATAATTTACTTAAAGAAATGTTACATGTCATAGATAATTGCCTATGTTTGATATAATAATTTTTGTACGGCTTAACATAAACTAATTTACCAACAGGAAGTCAACATAATGAGAAAAACAAAATAATAAAATTACAGAAGAAATTCAACTTTTTAAGCATTATGATATATTAATTAAAGTTACAAAACATTTTTTGAAAATTCAACTTGAAGAATAAAAATTTGGAAATTTTCTTTTCATTTTTACATCTTTGATGTTATTAAACTTTTTATCATGGTGACACACTTTTAAAGTCAACATTCCAGGTCTGCTAGGGGTGTCAACCTTTTGACATTTTTTATATCAGTGTTTCGGACAGAGTAAATTGTATGGTGTACAAATTTGAACATTTGAATGCAAGTGGTATTAAAGACTTGCGATAGTGCTAGGCCAGTGTTCACCCCAGTGCAGTGTTCACCCCATTGCAGACAGAACACTGTTCAGGTGTTCCACCCGTTGTTGGTAGTTTTCACTACGGATCACGGCAGTAGGCCACATTGAGTTTACCAGAGCACAGTTCACTGCCACCGCATCATTCCTGGGCAAGCTGTGAAACAGTTTACCAGTACTAGTTGCCTTCACTTTGGTAAGGAACTGAAACTTCTGAACATACCAGAGCAGAAGTATTGTGCAAATGACCTTAAAAAAGATTTCCTGATCAATCACAACGAAAGTGACCTGCGCTGTCTGGGAATCGAACCTGGGTCGCCTGATTCACAGTCTAACACTCTACCTATTGAGCTTCCCGGACGGCTGACAAATCCAGTACGGCTGCTCAACCCACTGTTTTTCATCCCTTTAATCTTTACCATGCTAAATATCTTACATAACCTTCTGGACAAAACTATTTACCATTTTTAGGGAAAATTTCAAGATATTTCCATTTTTAGGGAAAATTTTAAGATATTTAATGACTGAATAGAGAATAGTGCAGACCAAGAATACAAGCAGACGGCATGGATGTGCCGGTTGATCTTGGTTTGCATTGGTTGCACCAGGGTAAAATCAGTGGCCATAAACCCACAGGCTTAACATTAATAATACATTTATATCAGACAGGACATATTGATAGTGGGGTAAAGGTTAAATTAACTGATATAGGACAACTTTGTGTAAATAAACAAGTTGTTTATCAGTGTTTGTTTGTTTCATTTTATGTCTTTTCCAAACAGTATTTTAGTCATATATGCGGGTAGTTTCCTGTAAGAAATTCTTCAAAATGATTTGATAGTGAAATAAATTAAATTTTACAATCTTACCAAGATCATAGTGAAAACTTGCCTCAGGAACATTTCAACAAACAAATTAATATAAATAAACATAGGACCTTTAAATCAAACTATCTCATTGTACGGTTAAACCTATGTCTGCAAAACCCATAATTACCAGGCAAAATTTTTGTTGGGTTCTCTAATATAGTAATACACTTGAATAGATGCTATCCTTAACTTGGCAAATGTGGGTTTTTCCATGCTTATCCCTGGGTACAAACAAACTTTTACCAATTGCACTATTGGTCATCACAAATTAGTCAACCTGTTGCACTTAATTTCGAAGCTATAACTGTAATTTAAAAGTTTGTTGGTATCCTCCCCCCTGATTTGCTTGGAAAAACCCAAATATTCTTAATTCCAGACAAAGTCTATTCTTCTTCACTGTAAATTATATTATTTTGTTCACTTTTTCAGTACCAAAACAAACTAAGAAAACAAGTGTATAACCAGTCAAATTAAAGTTTGAATTTTGGAGGAGGACCAGTCTATGACAGGACAATGTTGTATGTACTACTACTGTTGATTGCTGCGACCAGCGTTTCTCACATAGAGGCATGCTCCTGTCTACAGTCACATCTACAATCACTATACTGTGATGCTGATTTTGGTAAATAACAAGTTTATCACATATTTATCACCAAAACTTAACAAGAATTTTCATACATTCTTCACACAAGTTAATCAGTTTATCAAATGTTTATCACAGGTTTATCATACATTTAATGTTTACCACATAAGTCCACCATCAGTTTATCAAAAGTTTATCACACATTTAATGGTTACCTCGTAAGTCCATCATAAGTGTATCAGAAGTTTATTACATGTTTATCACACATTTAACGTTAACCTCATAAGTCCATCATAATAAGTATATCATAAGTTTATCACAGGTTTATCACACATTCGAGAAAATCTTGGCGGGACACATTAGGATGACCCGACTTGAGTGTACGGTCGCCCATATGGGCTTTCCAGTGGCGACCTTAAATAAACACATTAAAAAAAAAATCACATGTTCATCACAAAGTTTTTCAAAAATTATCAGAGTTTAAATAATTGTTTACTAGGCATGATTCAGTCTTTTACAGTCAGTTAGTCAGTTACATGACTGTGTTAATCAGTTACTGCTGTAGGACTGTTGAGGCATTTTTAAAATGATTAAGTATTATTTAATTTCTGAATCAGTCTTTCACAACAAGGCAATCTATTAATTAGCCAGAAGTTGTAACTGTTTAATGTAGGTTTTTTCTGATGATGCAACAAAACTACAAACAGCAAGTTTCTCCCAGCACACATGTATATACACACCCACAATATCAGCTGAAGTAAACTATGTTTTTTTTTATCAAACTAAACTTTTTTTTATATTGCTCATTTAAGTTTGCAGATTTTTCAATCCCACAACTATTTTCTCTGCAGATGTAGTACCAACTGAGATCTTTTAATGAAAAACACACACACATTCTTATCAGAAACTCAAAAAGACTTAAATATGTTGTAATACTTTGATGTCCTGCTTCAAAGTGCTACTCATTTAAAATGTTATTTATAGCCAATAGAAATAGATGTAAGTTACCACTCCCATTCTAATAAACATTACGGCCAATTAACTCTGTCTTTGGACTTTTCTTGGGGGAAAATTTTTATTCAGTTGCAATAAAACTATTTTTTCATTACAATAAATACAATATCCTATTTTCAACTAATTTTAGCAGATTGATATAAATCACACTGTGGATTAATTACAGCACAGTGTCTTGCAATTACAATCAGTAGCTGTTAAGTTCCTATCACTGTACTTTTCTATGGATTTATGCAGAAATCAGGAGTCTCGACTTGAAGTATACTGTGCCATTGATATCACATTTGTTAATCAAAGCCAATAAAAATCCTCCAAAAATAGACAAGGGTCTGCAGTGCCATGGGGTAAAGTATTGGATTAATTGGTGCCTAAATACTGATGAATTTACACCATCAGAAAAAATTTCATTACAGGTTTAAAGCTGCACGCCTCCAGATGAGCAAATATATTTCAAGAAAATCAACATTGAGAAAAATGTACTAGAATTTTAAGAAATGTTAAAAATATTCAAGATCAAAATTATATTTTACATGTTATAAGCGATGACTGATTTTGCAGTATTTAATCGCCATATTTCTACTGCGTAACTAATAAACAAAGTAAGAGCTGTTATTGTATATTATGACCACTTTTTGGTAATTTTCTTGGATTGTAAGTGCTGATTGCAATATTTAGATTGTTTTATTTGTTCACCTTACAATATTTTACTTTTAAATACATTTCCAAAATTTTCATGAAAATTAACATGAATCTGGAGGCTGCTTTAATACCTGAATGGTGCTAAAGTAGGCATTCAATTAAGGCATAAATTTAAACCAAAACTAAAGTCAACCAAGACATAAAAACAAAAAAGGGTTTAGAAGTTTAACTATGGTGTATCATACAGGCTTATTAATCATTTTTTTCACCATTTATCAGATGTTTTTATGGGTTTACATCTTCAGTGAATGTTTAAATATCTTATCAACCATTTAGCTTATGAGCAAACATTAATTTAATGTAATCCCTGAATTTATCCATCTACTAACATTGATTGGCCAAACAAGTTTAATCTAAATGAAAATTTGAAGGTACAAAAATACAGTTAGCAAATTTACACACAAAAAAATGTTTGTTTTAAAGTACCATTAATGGTAATTTATCAAATGATCATTAAATTCACTGCAATAATATTATGTCCATCTAAGGACTGTGTGAAATGTAGAAAGATAAAAATTAAATAGAAAGAATACACTCAAACTATTCTATATTTCACTTGTCAGATGGTCCAAAATTAAGACCATGTCACTATTCCATTATCAAAACCACAATTTTCAGTCCCTGAATTTCTAACTAATTAATCCTTCGTTTGACTCCTGTTTTGCTAATATTTCAGTAATAAAATTTTAGTTTCAGTTATTTTCAGAAATGCAAGTGTATTAAATTGCCATATATCAGCAATACACGTGTGTGGTTTATATATTTCATTATTAAATAACTATACGTTATTAGTCCTATAAAAAAAGCACCTGCCACGTTCAATAACACGATGGCCTGCCTTAAAACAGGGCCAATATCTATATCACTTTTTCGGCCCCGGGCCGAAAAGTGTTATAGATATAAAGCCCGCATTTGAAGTAATTTGATTGGCTAATAAAGCAGGGCCAAAAAATGATATAGATATCAGCAAGAAACTGGGAAATCACAGCCATTTTGTTTTAACTCGGTCTATGTGTAGACGCCGACAGGTTGCATTTATAAATGAAACAAAATATTCTCAGTTTCTAAACATTCACATTCTGACATATTGTTGTACATGTACAATTTAAGTTACAAAATGTAGGTTTTCCATACAAACTGATAAAAATTTTAATGCAGTTATTTTCAAAGTTGTTCTTTGCTATAATTTAAATGTTACAGATTTAAAATAAGAAGAAATATCTGAGGACTAAATGTGAAATATTATAAGTACATGTAGATATTTAATAAAATTGTCAATAAATAAATGATTTGATATTGGCCCTGTTATTTGTCCTCGGGTCAGTCGTATTGGCCTTCGGCTTTGGGCCAATACGACTGCCCTCGGACAAATAACAGGGCCAATATCAAATCACTTATTTATTAACATATAATAATGCAAATTTGGTAACATTTTAGCAATGCAAGTATGTGGTTTAGTTTTCAAAAGGCAAGTGTGTGGTTATGTGATATTTTAGTAAAACAAGTGTGTGTATATTTCAGTAATACAAGTATGTGGTTATATTTCAGTAATATAAGTGTGTGGTTATGTGATATTTCAGTAATGCAAGTGTATGATTATGTGATATTTTAGTAATGCAAGTGTGTGTGTGTGTATATATCAGTAATAAAAGTGTGTGGTTATATATCAGTAATGCAAGTGTGTGGTTATATTTCAGTAATATAAGTGTGTGGTTATGTGATATTTCAGTAATGCAAGTGTGTGGTTATGTGATATATCAGTAATACAAGTGTGTGGTTATATTTCAGTAATGCAAGTGTGTGGTTATATTTCAGTAATGCAAGTGTGTGGTTATGTGATATTTCAGTAATGCAAGTGTGTGGTTATGTGATATTTTAGTAATACAAGTATGTGGTTATGTATATTTCAGTAATTCAAGTGTGTGGTTATATTTTAGTAATGAAAGTATGTGGTTATATTTCAGTAATACAAGTATGTGGTTATATTTTAGTAATTCAAGTGTGTGGTTATATTTCAGTAATGCAAGTATGTGGTTATATTTTAGTAATGCAAGTGTGGTTATGTGATATATCAGTAATACAAGTGTGTGGTTATATTTCAGTAATGCAAGTGTGTGGTTATATTTCAGTAATGAAAGTATGTGGTTATATTTCAGTAATACAAGTGTGTGGTTATTTTATTTCAATAATGCAAGTGTGTGGTAATATTTTAGTAATGCAAGTAAACAACTAGATTTCAGTAATGCAAGTGTGTTTATATTTTGTGGTTATATCTCAGTCATACAAGTACATATATGTGGTTATGTAATATTTCAGTAATGCAATTGTGAGATTAAGTTTTAGTAATGCAAGTGTGGTTATATTTCAGTGATGCAAGTGTGTTCAATCTTAGTAATGCAAGTGTGTTTATATTTCAGTGATGCAAGTGTGTTCAATCTTAGTAATGCAAGTGTGTTTATATTTCAGTGATGCAAGTGTGTTCAATCTTAGTAATGCAAGTGTGGTTATATTTCAGTAATGCAAGTGTGTTCAATCTTAGTAATGCAAGTGTGTTTATATTTCAGTGATGCAAGTACGGTTACGTGGTCCACCAGAAGAGATATACAGGAAAGAGGAGACAGAAGATTTTGATGAGACTTCAAATAGTTACCGTACATTCATTAATAGAAGAGTAACTGCCATCAAATATAATGTAAAAATCAGGCAAATCTATAAGCTGAAAGTTAGTATTATGTCATTTTAGATCATGTTAAGCTTTAAAGCTTGTTCACTGACTGTAAATTGTTTGTCACTGATCAAGATATTTTTACATCAGCATAAGCTTGTTGTTTAAGGGGGGTAGCAGAAGGATGGGGGCAGGGACAGGGGAAGAGTTTTGTAGAAGTAACTAAGGTGTTTGCTTCTCAATCAAGGGTTTGTGGGTTCAAGTCTCACTTTGATCAAAACCATGTTGCATCATTTGACAGCAGTACTGGTTAGTTCCAGGAAATAAACTCAAGAGTCTATAGAGTAAATCAAATAAGTTACAATTAATCTTCACACTCAATATTGCATTAATAATGCTTAAACTAAAGCTTGTTTGCTCCCTGTACATTGTACATACATGATAAAAGATGACAACTTCTCCTAAACCTAACCAATAATAAAACCACAAAATATTTGAGCCGTGTCACGACAAAACCAACATAGTAGTTTTGCGACCAGCATGGCGCATCCACGCAGTCTGATCAGGATTCATTAGTATATTAGTTTCTCTACTTGTTATACGGTTTGTCAGCAAACAGCATGGATCCTGATCAGACTGCGCGGATGTGCAGGCTGGTCCAGATCCATGCTGGTCGAAAACCCATTATGTTGGTTTTGTCATGGCAAGGATCACTTCCTTTATTATCAGGCACTGGTGAAGCAAGCAATATTTTACATAAGATTTAATATAGATATTGAACGTTCATTTTTTTGTATGATATATTGTAATTCTTGAAATTTCAAATGCACTGTTCCAGACTGAAAGCTAGGCAAATGCATAACATAAATTCAGCAGGTTTATATGAGTTATTTTTTACAACAAGAGCTGTCTGTAGGACAGCACGCTCGACTATTCTAAGTGCTTGATAGTAAAAGAGCCTTTATATTGTTTAATTTTTTAAGTTCACAAAAGGGCTAATTTTTTGTTATAAATTCATGTTATAGGCCTTTAAGAGAGAGTCTAATTATACAGTATTAGCTTGACTATTTGGAAGGTAATGTCACAAGGGTGTTTTATTGAGTATAATAATACTAATTACCTATGAATACATAAATTTGACAGAAAAGGTACAAAGGCTTGTTATTAAGATGTTTTATCAAGTAAATCACTGCTTTATTATTATGAATGCATAAATTGTCCCAAAAAAGGCACAAACCCTTCAGTAGTTATTGAGATAACAGCTTACAAGCAAAACTTTACCATGAATTTCTAAGTTGAAAAAGGGGAGAAAAATCAGCCTAAATGCAAGATAGAATTATGGATCTTTGTCAGTGACCCTAAATGCTTATATGAAGTTTTAAATTAATATCTTTAATAGTTATTGAGATATGTAAAACTTGCATGTAAACATTAACCAAGAGACTAAGTAGAAAAGGGGATATGAATCAGCCTTAATGCAAGACAGAGTTATGGAACTTGGTCAGTGACGAAGGGAGTGTACATACAATTATGACCCTCCAATTATGACCCTAAGTGCATGTGTTAAGTTTCAAGTAAATATCTTTGAAGACCTTTAACCAAAATTTCAAAGTTTCAAAGGGTCAAATAATTCTGCAAATACTGCAGGCAGAGTTATGCAATTTTGCAAACTGATGTACATTGTTACTATAAAAAAGTATTTTAAATTTCAATTGAATATCTCAAGCAATAATTGAGATATTTGACTTTACAAAAAAACTTTAACCAAAATTTTTAAGTTCCAAAGGGGCATAATTCTGTCAATATTGTAGGAAGAGTTATCCAAATTGTCAATCTGACGAACCTTATTACTATGAATAAGTATTGTAAGTTTCAATTGAATATCTCAAGCAATAATTGAGATATTTGACTTTACAAAAAACTTTAACCAAAATTTCTAAGTTAAAAAGGGGCATAATTCTGTCAATATTGTAGGCAGAGTTATCCAACTTGTCAATCTGATGTACCTTGTTACTATAAATAAGTATTGTAAGTTTCAATTGAATATCTCAAGCAATAATTGAGATATTTGACTTTACAAAAAACTTTAACCAACGCAGACGCCGACGCGGACGCTGACGCCGACGCCGGGGCGACTACAATAGCTCTCATATTCTTCGAATAGTCGAGCTAAAAACTCTATATAACTGTCATGTGATAATTCATTTACTTCCTTGCAGGATAATTCTACTGGTTTGGACAAGAATAGTACAGTAACAGAAATCTTCACAGGGCCTAATGATGGGTTATGTGGTGTCCAGTTATTTGAACGGACCAACTACCTTCTATCAGGTAAAATTAACTTAATATATATTTAAGTTATTTGTAAAGTAGTGATCCCTAGGATGCATTTCATATGCAAGTTATTTGTAAAGTAGTGATCCCCAGGATGCACTTCATATTTAAGTTATTTGTAAAGTAGTGATCCCCAGGATGCACTTCACATTTAAGTTATTTGTAAAGTAGTGATCCCCAGGATGCACTTCATATTTAAGTTATTTGTAAAGTAGTGATCCCCAGGATGCACTTCATATTTAAGTTATTTGTAAAGTAGTGATCCCCAGGATGCACTTCATATTTAAGTTATTTGTAAAAGTTATTTGTAAAGTAGTGATCCCCAGGATGCACTTCACATGCAAGTTATTTGTAAAGTAGTAATCCCCAGGATGCACTTCATATGCAAGTTATTTGTGAAGTAGTGATTTCAATGATACATTGTATATTAAAGTTATTTGTGAAATAGTGACTTCAATGATACATTGTATTTTAAAGTTATTTGTGAAGTAGTGATTTCATTGATACATTGTATATTAAAGTTATTTGTGAAGTAGTGATTTCAATGATACACTGTATATAAAAGTTGTTTATGAAGTAGTGAATCCAGTGATGCCCAAAAATTTTCTGCAAGTTGAGATAATAATTAAATCAACCATCACTTTTACTTTAACCTTGTTTGTAATGTGAATATTAAAAAAAATACAATACATTTTCATTAAATTTTTATCTTCACATAAATAACCTTTTTTTTTCAGGGAAATATTCCAATGGTGCCCTGCATATTGATATATGCAGTTCTATTGCTAGTCCTTGGTCATTTATAACAAAGATGCAGAAGAAAGGACTTCGCTTTACTTATAAAAGATCATGTGATTGTAATGTAAGTTACTTAGCATTTATCAAGATGAAAATTTTAAGTTACTTAGCATTTATCAAGATGAAAATTTTAAGTTACTTAGCATTTATCAAGATGAAAAATTTAAGTTACTTAGCATTTATCAAGATAAAAATTTTAAGTTACTAAGCAATCAGTATGAAGCCTGGCCAGTTCAGGTCAACATTATTGTTGTGTGAACATGTTTCTTCCTGACCTTTTTCAACAAGGCTGGTTCCAGTATTGCTTACTTGAATACTGTTTAATCACCCTTAGGATATGTTGCCTGCTTTTTAAATTTGTCTTTTGATGTCTTGCCTGTGATATATAGGCTTCAAACCTCACATCCCCTTTCAAAATTCCATTTTATTTAGTTCTGCCCACTTTTTCTCGTTAAGGGTACTCACATTCTTTTATCTTGGGACCATACGCCGCTTTTCATGGAATGGCACAAATGTGTCACAATGAAGGCTCCATGTGTATTGTCGTAAGAGCACATTTGCGAATGTTTCAAAATTTCACCATTTTCATGTTTAAGTGTTGAATTCTACTAAAACTAGTGCTTAGGGGGTGGGGGTGGGGCCGGGTGCGTGGACAGTCACTTGCACTTTCTGTACTGTCCTTGAACAGGCTTGATCAAACAAAGCCTGCAACATTTTCAAATTTTGTCATTTATATATCAATCATTCCCTTACCATGTTAAAATGAATTCATGAAAAAAACATACATCTATATTCGCTTACATACATCTATATTCGCTTACATAGTATAAATTCATAAAATGTGATTTAAATTTGAATGTTTTGCTGTTTTTCTTGCAGATACAAAACATTAACTATGTTGATGAAGTTGATCCGAAGGCATGTGTATGGGATCCACGTAAAGTTGATGGCAACTGTTACGAGAGACAAACTGCGTGTATTCTTGACAAGAACAGCTCAACGGGTGGCTGTAAATGGCAGCGGAACGGAAAACTGAAGGCATGTCGTCTGGATGCAAAATCAAAAAGAAAGCTGCCTTAAAATGAGAATGATAAACATTTACTTTAACTTAAACTTTGTGTAGTTTACCTTAAATTTGTGAAATTTAAGGTACTTTGATTGTGTCATTTGCCTAAACTTTGTGAAGTTTATGGTACTTCATGTTGCTTACCTAAACTTTAATTTTGTAAAGTTTACTTTAACTTTCTGAAGATTAAGGTATTTTGTGTAGTTAACTTCAGCTTTGTGAAGTTTATGGTACTTTGTGTGTTTTGCCTAAACTTTGTGTATTTCTACTTTTTGTGAAGTTTTATGTTCTACAATGTATGTCAGGTTTACCTTAAATTTTGTGTAGATTACTTTATCTTAAAATGTTTCATATATTTGTACATGTTTTGGTTATTAAATAAGAAATAAGAGCCACGTCATGACAAAACCATTATAATGGGTTTGCGACCAGCATGGATCCAGATCAGCCTGCACATCTGCGCAGTCTGATCATGATCCATGCTGTTCGCTATCAGTTTCTCTACTTGTAATAGGGTTTGTAAGCGAACAGCATGGATTCTGATCAGACTGCGCGGATGCGCAGACTGGTCTGGATCCAAGCTGGTCGCAAACCCATTATGTTGGTTTTGTCATGACGCGGCTCAAATATTTAGGTTGATGAAAAATCATGACCTAATTGTATCATTTTTCAGAAGCAGTTTCTGTGACTCTCTTAAATTTTAATATACAAACAAAGAGTAATGTCGGCATTTTACAAAGATAGAGTAAAATCTGGCAGTATAAGTCAGTCAATATAAAGATGATTCTTTTTCACTGTAATCTTTTCTTATTTAGGGTATCATTACTGTATGTGATTATATAATTAACACATGGGTCTGTGGGTAACAGTAAAAATATCATCCCAAGGAAAATCTCAGCTAACAGTATTTTTACAAGGAATAATATTTTAACTGTTGATAAATTCAGAATGAAAAAAATAACCTCTGTATACAGTTCAAAGGTGGTATTATTGAAAAACCCTTTTTACATGCCCCATATGGCAGTGTCTGTGCATATGCGCGCAAGGCAGGAAGCCCCCAATGTTGACAAGGTCTTGTTTTGACAACACACAAGTGAAAGTAATCTAAAAAGAAAAAGTTTGTACCTAGTTCACTATCTGAGTGATTTGGAACATTTTTTTTAAAGAATCAAGCATTTAAAGAAAATATATGGGAACCGCCTATGTACTGAAACCACTTGCATGCCAGTATATCACACTGTACAGTATAGACGTCTCCTTCATCAACATTATACAGTTTCATTTTATGTGAAATATTTTCCCAAACAACTCAAGTTTCTTTTTGTTATAGCCATTGAATAACAAACAAATAAATGATGAATTATAGAAATTTATAAATCATCAAGTTTCATGCTTTGTTGTTAATATTTAAAATCTGACAAATGTTCTATCGAGGGTTCAACGCGAAACTAGTCTATGTGCATTTTTTAAAAATGTTCAGGAGAAGGAAAAAACTTTCTCAATTGTTACATTTTCAGAATTGTTCAATATAATAAAGATATAGTATGTATCTAAGAGAACTTCAACCATACTTATTTCAGTTTTGATAATCTGTTCATTAAAAATGATGTTTTAGTAAGAAATGTTACATAGAATAGTTTCACGCCAGAATATTGTCATATATGGCTTAAAGATTGAATGCGAAACTATTCTATGTGATTTTATTAAAAAAGCTCACTAGTGCTTCAGGGAATGTTATAATAACAATATGTGATAGAAAAACAGTTTTTAAATGATCTTATGAAAAATTCACATAGACTAGTTTCGCTCTGATTTTTGTGAAAAAAACTGACAAGAAATTTTGTGCGAAACTAGTCCAAGTGATATTTAGGATTTAAATGTATGGCAATTAAATGTTTATTACTCTTTCTTTTTCTATTTCTATAAAGTTATATCAATTAAAACATACAGACCATTGAAAATTTTCATGTTATATCAATTTTTTAGCAGTTTGACTTAATTAATTAACTTCATTTTTGAGCTGCTTCATTAACAGATACAGTCGGTGTAGAAATGAAGGGCTGAAATTCAGTTAAGGCTTGAAAAGAATTATTTTATAATATTGATTAATGTTAATTAAACTCATACAGTGCAAACAATAGAAACATTGCTTATATTTTATATATTACTGTATCATAGAAATCGGTATTAATTACATGACTTGTTTTCACAAACTGTTGTGTATGAATTCTTAATAGGATAAATTATGACTAATGTTATCTTTAATCCTACAACATGACAATTTTTTTTTTCTTATTCATTTTTTTACTCAATCAGACAAGACAAATGTAAGTCATCTTTAAACAAAGGTAATTTAGTAAAGGGCCATCCCCCTTCTTCCCCCACTCTTCTCCCAGACAGCAATGGCTGCCATCTTCAAATGACACAGAATCCTGTTTACCAGTCTTTGATGAATCTGTGCACCATAACATGTCATTCAGCTCATTCTTGAAAAATTTTGCCATATTGAATTTCTATCCAATGAGGGAACATAACTAATAAGAGTTTCCAAGTTGAATAGGGGCATAACCACTAAAAATTTGCTTACAGGATAATGCCCTTGTCTTACATCTTTTTTTTGACATGATATGTAAGCGTTCCAAGTTTCATATTGAAACCTTAGATGTTCTTTAAATCATTAAACTGAATAAGCAATTATAATAAAAATTGTATGTTAAAAAAGGGCATCCGACTCCAAAAATATAGCTTTTAGATTATAAGAATGCCCCTTGTGTCAAAATGGAATCTTACATTGATAAGCAAATATTCAAAGTTTCAAACTTTTAAACTGTTTGCGTTTTTGAGTGCAGTCAAGATTTTTCACATTCCCAACAATAACAAGACCGACTCAGCCATTGGTACAGCTAGACATTTTTTCGAAACAGATCGAAGATGCTAAAAATAGAAAGCAGTCGACCAACTGTGCCATTTAAAATTTCATTTTGATGCATACATTTAGGACTAGGCATAATTATCACAATGCAACAAATCATCTCTAATCTTGGGGAGATGTAACCCAAATAATGTATTCCATCTGCTTTGGACCAGAGAAAGGAACAGAAACAAAAACATGCACATGTATGTTAACATTGATTTGCTATAATGATGTAAAAATTAATTCAGAAATGGAAAACTGCTCAAATATCATTATTTTATGGATCTTGTCACTTAAGTTAATACCCCCTCTCCTTGCAATATCAGAAACAAAATCACACCATTGACCTGACAGAAGCTCATTTCCATAACTATGTCCGGCCATTCCCGCATACAGGTGAAGAAGCTTAGACTAAGATGTATTATATATTAAATATCAAACTGTTATGATAAGCATGTTAATATTAATGAAACTTATGTTCCCAAAGATAAAAATATTTCAAAGGCAAACTAGTGGCAAGAATTTATGTAAGCAATACATAATTAGGTTACTAGTTAACTGTGTTTTTCATGACAGTTTTATTTGAATTTTATGTGTTAAAATTTTTAACTTTACTTTAAGTTTTATATGTTTTTTTGTTGTTTTTTTTTTGTTGGTTTTCTTTGCGACCAAAATTTCATTCTTAAGTTAGGTAATATTTGTATGTCACTCAATCCATATCTTCAACATTCTGTCCAGTAAGTTGTTGGACTGTAAACAGAGTTCAAGAGGATATCAGACTTCCTTACACTGACACAAAAGTTGAATATGGCTAAAATTGCACACATTTCTAGTCATTTCAAGATGAAAATTATCTTGAATATAAATCAAAAGGCAATTTCAGTCAAGCATTGGATTTATTATGGAGGGGTGTTGGTTCTCAGACTAAGTGAAATTTCTGTGTGACATTTAATCTCAGATATTATGTTTAATGTTCATTTTACTCTTTTTGCTTATATAGAAATCATGTAGGATGAGATTAGTAGTTGGTCAACTGCAAAAAATAATGGTTATAATGGTTATTATTGTTCAGTTATTTAGGAAAGTAGGTTACTGGTATGACTGGACTGACTGACAGTCACGTTTTTGAAAAAACACTGATACCTAATGTACTTAAATAATTCAATTTGTTGCTTCCATAAATTCTTTACACTAGTTTGCAGTTTGCCTTTGGAAACTTTTTAGTTAAAATAAATCATGATTAAAGAAACATAATGCCTGAATTGAACAATTTTTTTAAAATTATTAAAAAATAGTTCAAACAGAATTTCAATGCAAGCCATTACCAACTACAAAGTGTGATTTTGAATAATTGTTAAAGGTTGTTTTAATATTTTTAATGATCTGAATTAATTTAACTATTGAAATAATGCAATTGTATAGAAAGATTGATACAATTTTTTTCACATAGGCTACTTGACTTAAAAAGAGATGTTAATATTAATGGGAAACTAGCCTATGTGCACATTTTTTGCAGATAGACTAGTTTCGCATTGAACACATATAGCCTTTTTAGATACAATAGTATGGCAAATATGTTTTGTGTCCTTAACTATGCACAGGAAAAGGAAGATTTTAACACATAATGTGAGGACTATAAAGACTTTTCAGAATATGTAAAAAAGACATTTTATGAAAAAATGTCAGATAGACTAGTTTCACGTTGACCCCTCGCTATTACTCTTTCCATTTTAAATAATTATCTGAAATGGACTTGTCCATCTTTGGTGAGCTTTCAGCAAAAATTTCAAATAATATTATCTAATTGCTGTCTAACTATAACCCTGACAACACTAAATATCTCTAATGGACTTGTCCATTTTTCAATCTGGACAAAACCATTCATCATTGATGGGGAAAATTTTAAAATATAAACTGACTGTAAAGCGAACAGTGCAAACAATGATTAGACGGCACAAATGTGACAGACACTACTTCTCTAGAAACAAAAGTGTTAAAGGAAACTATTTCAATTTACTTGAGCAAATTTTTTAAAATGTAGATCTTGCAAATAAATTATAAAATGAACCAAATAAATCTCTGCGTTACAATTTACTTTCACAATATATCAACTGCAGAGATTTTGCATGATTTAAAGTGCCGAATCTTTTTCGGAGGCAAATCATTTATTGATTATTACCCCAGCCAAACGAAGGCAATTCTGTCAAAATATAACAAAGCATTCATTTTCTGTATTGATCCTGTATCGTATAATGTTAGAATGTCTAAAATATTTGCTTTTCCGTGAATAGAAAATCAAATCATCGCAACAACCTAATCTCGTGAACTTTTCATAAAAGTGATCGACAGACTAAAAAAAGTGAAGTTTTTCACACAAAAAAAAATACTACGCAATTATTTTGATTCATATTTGATAGCTGTGTCAGGATAATCTTTCCTTTATTTTATAATTCCGGCAAATATTACGATAGTTTAACTATCAGACTGTAACGTTATTTCACGATGCCGGAGCACCGAGACGGACTAATATAAGACAGTGATGTCTATAGATGGAGTTTTATTACTATCATAAAGCCTAGTCAAACATAAAACATAGATAATGATTTCCAAATTGTGTATTGACCTGCTAGTAGAATATCGGACACTTCACAATACAAACAATAAAACTGATATATAGATATTCTTGTGTTCTTTAAGTCTGGTTACAAAACTGGCAGACCAACAAAGTTTATCTTTTAACCCTTTATATCTTGGTAATTTTTTTAAATTGATTTGTCCATGCATGCACATTTTCTATAACTGTCCCTTAGCAATGTTGGGGATATAAAGATACAACTAACAGGGCATTGTTATTAAAGAAATAAACAATTATACATGGAAGAGAAGTTAGATGTAACTATGAAGTAACAACGTTATTAGTGTGACATTGACAGACGATAAATTTCCACCAATCCCGTCTATTCTCCATCACATTCACAGTAATTGCCTTGTACTACCTAAATCACCTCATCCTGCCTCAATTACCACAATCCACCTTAAATTACCACAATCCACCTAAAGTCAGATATTTTCTAACAGCAACCTTCAATAATTATTTTCCATCATAATGTTACTGCAAGTCTTATAGCTAAAATGTTTTTCTGACCTTGGTTGCCTTTCTGGTTGAAATGTTGGAAAAAAACAAAAAGAATTTAAAATATCTTTGAGTACAGCATATCAAAAGTTCTTTCAAATCTTAATCTTTTTTTATTTTGTTTGGTTTTAATTAAGTTATAGCAACATTTTAAAGGTAATAATGGCGACTTTCTGGTGGAGGAAAATATGAGAGGTTCATAATTATTTGAGCGTTTTTCTGGCATAAGTTGGCAAAAAGTTACCACCAATATTTATAAGCTGGAGGGATAGCTTTCTCATGCATGTTTGACATCTCTGTTTAAAATTCTAGTGTACTAGTCTATCTAGATTGAATTTTAATT